CCAACTTGAAACACTACCTACCATGAATTTAGTACTTACTGTATATCAGGTGGAAATCCTGGTGGTGTAGTGGTTAAGAGCTATGGCTGCTAACCAAAACAAAAGGCTGGCTGTTCGAATCCACCAGGCACTCCTTGGTTCTATTCTGTCCTATAGGGTTGCTATGAGTCAGAATCGACTCAATGGCAACAGGTTTGGTTTTTGTTTTTTTGGTATGTATCAGGTGGAGCCCCCATGGTTCAGTGATTAAGTGTTTGGCTGCTAACTGAAAGGCTGGAGGTTCGAACCCACCAGCTGCTCTGAGGGAGAAAAATGTGGCAGTCTGTTTCAGTTAATATCACAGCCTTGGAAACCATATGTGGCAGTTCTCCTTTGTCCTGTAGGGTCTCTATGAGTCAGAATCAACTTGATGACAGTAGGTTTTGGTTTTTGGATGTACTAGGCATTATTTAAATGCTTTACCAATACTATCTTATTTAATTGTAAAACCTGAGACTGAATGATAGTCTTATCCCACCCAGTTTTACAGATGAGGACACTAAGGCTCAGAGAAGTTAAGTAACTTATATGAGTCCCATAAATTGCAAATGGCAGCATGACAAATCAATTCCAGGTGTGTAAGACTCCAGAATTTATATTCTCAAATTCTACTCCCTGAAACACCTCACTTGCTTGATCTCCCATAATTTCTACTTTGTTTTTTTACTAAATGTGAGTAAGCCAGGTTTAATGAGTAAACAAATTACTTGGATCCACAATCAATGCCCATGGAAGCAGCAGTCAAGAAATCAAATGGCATATTGCATTAGGCAAATCTGCTGCAAAAGACGTCTTTAAAGTGTTAAAAAGCAAAGATGTCACCTTGAGGACATCTTTGGACATCCCATCAGGAAGGATCAGTCCCTGGAGAAGGATATCAGGCTTAGTAAAGGGTCAGCAAAAAAGAGGAAGACCCTCAATGAGATGGATTGACACAGTGGCTACAACAATGGGCTCCAAAATAGTAACAATTCTGAGGATGGTGCAGGATCAGGCGGTGTTTCGTTCTGTTGTACCTAGGGTCTCTATGTGTCAGAACTGACTCAAGCGCACTTAACAACAACAACAAACCGTACTGTACACTTTATCCTTTAATGTACTGATGTCTTTGAATATTATTGGGATAGTAATAAATAAAAATGCTGATTTTCTTCATCATAATAAATGTATACTTTTACTCCTGAGACGTGTCCCCACAGTGACCTGCCTATCTTTCTTCTCATCTCTTGTTGATTTACTATGTTCCATATGCTCCACAGAACCAATGCTATTTCTTGTTTATTAAAAGGTGTCAGTAGAAAACCTCCCCTCTGTTTTCCTGAGGATGCTGGGGGAAAAATAATCTGAGTATTTTCCACCTTCTTCCATTTCACTTTAGGATCTCAGATTATCTTTGTGTTTCTACTCCTTTGTCCTTACTTCTAAGGGACAGGTGACCATTCTCTCTGTTAATGCTGATTACTTAAACTCTTGGATCACTAGTTCTGTTTCTCCTTTCAAATACTGCTCTATCAATTCTCCCAATCTCTCACCTGGAACTTCTCTGCAATACTTTTGGCCCCTTAACGCTACCAACCAAAGGCATTTAGATTTTCTCTTTACCAGAGAGGAGTAACCTTCCCTCAGTTCTGCTGCCAGCCCTCTGCCTCCAACCTCTCTCTTATTCAGTTTATTACAGGTTTCATGAAATAATCTAACCTTCATCCTTGAATTCTTTTGCCACCCATAATCATGACACCTATCTAGTGTGACTATTCTCCAAATGTAATAAGTTAACTCTTTTAAACCAGAACCCCCTGTAAAACAAAAACAATAACTTTGTTAAGGTTTATAATGTTTCCCCTTTAATATCTCTGTACCATCTGTTATCAGTGACTATCTCGGTAGCAAAATTGACTTGGTTTCCATGACATTGAAATAACCAAACCCACTGGACCATCTCTTCCTGTCTTTTTGGCTGTGCTTTCCTGCTGCTGCTTCTTTCTATCTAATTATTAATGTATTCATCGAACATGTTTAGAGCTACTATGGCCAGACCCTAGATGAGGTATTGGAGCTACAACAGTGAACAGGACACACATGGCCCCTGCCCTGTCTCATAGAGTACCCAAATCAAAAACCAAACCCGTTGCCATCAAGTCGATTCCGAATTATAAGGACCCTATAGGACAGAGTAGAACCACCCCATAGGGTTTCCAAGGAGCAGCCGGTGGATTTGAACTGCCGACCTTTTGGTTAGCAGTCGATCACTTTAACCACTGCACCACCAGGGCTCCCTCATAGAGTACAGGTTAGTGCAAAAAATACGAATGAGGAAACAGTACATTATTTTACTTAATCCTCACAATTGCTTTATGAGGAGGTACTGTTGTTATCCTCATCTTACAGATGAGGATACTGAGGAAAAGGGAGGACATGTAACTCCCAGATTCTGTCCTAAACACTCTTTGTTTCTATATTCTACCTCACTAACTTCACATTCTCTACCACATTTAACTCCACATATATATCGAGACCTCTCAGCTGTTTCATTCTAACACAGAACACATTTCCTCAGAGCAGGGCTTGAAGTTCTGACTGCCTAAACACTTCCCCCTGAACATCGCCCTTGACCCTTTAACTCAGATGTCCAAAAGAACTCATTATCATCTGATAGTCTTTCTCAAACAAACATAAAAACAAAACCAACCGTTGGTTCCCTCCTTGACTTCTCAATTCTTCTGGTATCACCATTTTTATGTTCTTCCAGGCTCAAATCCTTAGCCTTATCATGAACTAACCCCTCTCCTCCACGTAATTGCTCAGTACTGTTAATGACGCTCAGCAATGCCTCTTTCAAACATCCTGATATTTCATTTCCCGTAACCGTTGTCATTGCTGCTACATTCCTGATCCCTTAGCAAGGGCTGCCACTACCGTCTAAGTGTTTTCGACAGCTCTACCATCGTCTGGTTCTAGGCTACCCTGTTACCTTGTCATATGAGATTAATCTTCTTGCTATAATTCTCATATCAAGTCTCCAGCTTAACATTTTGAGGTGAAAGACACACTGCTCAGGCTTGCAGTCACAGCTCAGCTTGACATGGCCTCTGCCAATCTTTCAAGGCATTGTTTTTGGTACCTTCCTTCATGCTTCTGCACACTGTATGTTGTCTGTGTCACTACTCCCCATGCTTTTCTGCCTCCGATTTTTCACCTTAAACGCCCCCGCCTTTTTACCACTGCCTGATGAAATTTTATCACAATTTAAGGCTCATCTCAAATGATCTCTCCTCCATGAAGTCTTTCCACACATCTCTGTGATAATGTGTTTAGTTTCTTTTTCGGTCTAATGTATTTATTGGTATATATCAAATTGCTCTTTGAAAGCAGGGACTGTGTCAGATTCTGTTCACCCACTTCAGGGCCAGGAAGGGCCTTTGCTGTGGTAAGTACTTGCTGAATTGAAATCGAAGGATGGGTGTTTACACCTAGATGAGATCACATAGAAAGAGAGGGTCAAACTGAGCTGACATAATCATGCTAAGTCTAGACTTAACATATCTTTTGTTGTGTTGGCTATCTTCCTCACTTTATTTTCTTTATTATTCTTGGCATTTGCTCTTCTTGGTTTATCTGTCAGATTCATAAGCGATGTAACTGTTTGATAACACACCCTTGAGCAGCACTGTCTAGCTGGGAAAGCCAATGATTGGCTTGGAGGAAAAGTAGACTGCCCCTTAGAGGATATAACTTATCTTCTCTCTAAATGATGGTGTTTGTGAGTGGTCACTGTGGATTGTTTTCTAGAGTTTCTCTTGAGAATACACAGAATGTTGAGTCACTAAAATCTCTCTACACTTTTATCGGTATTAGTATTCATAATGATTTTATCGGAAATAATTATTAATAACATAATAGCAGCCTTGCATCCACAGGGCATTTGATCCTTTTGCACCGTGTTCACGTTTATAAGTTATTCGGCCTCCAGAGCATCCTGCAACCCTGTGAAAAACAGTGCCTTAGTAACTTGTTATTTCAGATCATTTTACAGATAGTGGCTCAGCTGATACTAGGAAGCCAGGTTTTTGGTTTGTGTTTTGCTTTTCATTTTGCAACTCAAAATGTGGTCCTTGGATCAGCAGCCTCTGCTACACCTATAAACTCCTTAGAAATGCAGTCTCGGTCTCTACCCCAGACCTACCGAATCAGAATGTGAGTTTTAACCAGGGCTTCAAACTGGTTGGTTCTGGTTCGAACCGCTGCTGAGAATTTGTGTTTCCACCCCAGATATACTGAATCAGAATCTACAGTTTAACAAGATCCCCAGGTGATTCTTATGTATAATAAATTTCGAGAACCACTGCCCTACTAGTGGTTCTCAGAACTGGTCCCTAACCAGCCGCCTCAGCATCGCCTGGGACCTTGTTTGAAATGCAGGTTTTCAGCAGGGGTTCGAATCTGTTCGAAGCCCTGATTTTAACAAGATTCCAAGTGATTCCTATGCACAGTAAAGTTTGAGAAACACCTCCTGTGAGTCCTAGAAGAGGGCAAAAGAGAGTGTCTTTTCATTCCCAGGGTATGTAAAATGTGTGATGAGGAGAGGGGAGAAAAATGTTAGTGTGGCCTGGGTCCCTCAAGAAGGGTGAGCAGTTAAGGTTTTTGGAGGTGGGACTTCCCTTTACATTTGCAGTAGCTTCACCAGATCTCTTTCTACGCATCCGAGATTGTTGAGGTTAGCTCTTAAAAAAAGGGGGTGGGGTGGGGTGTGGAGGAGTGTCAGATAACTGTGTCCATACTCTGAATACACAGACTGTCATATCCAAAACCAGGAGGTCAAAGGACATAAGCACAAAGGGAAAGCTTTTCTGAGCCTCCACTAAGCAGCTCTCTCATGCTCATTTCTAGTATCTCTAGTTTCTGAACGCATCCCTCCTCCTCCCGTCTCCTTTAACACCCACGACCCGCTCACTCCATTAAAGCTAGTTCCTCGTTCCAGTCTGCCCTTTTGGTTCTTTCTCATCCCTCGCCCTCTCTCCGCGCGGCAGCCGGCCCCTCCCTCGCGCCGGCTCGCACCTCTTCCCAACCCCGTACACCTGGAGGCTTGCGCGGGCTCCGGACGCGTGCGGAGCGCCGGCGGCGCAGCGGAGGCAGAGGCGCGCTGACGGCCACCGCCAGCCCGCGCCCAGGGACAGCACGCGCGGCCTCACGGGGATCATTCTCCTCAGCCGCCGCGCAAGCCTCGCCGCGACCACCGTCGCCGAAGCTGCAGGCGGGCAGCCGTGAGCCCTCGGGGACAGGCAGCCCGGGCGGCCGCTCCTCCCGGATGCCAAGGCCAGGGCGCAGGGCGGCCGCCAGCAAGAGGATGAAGAGCTCGGTGGAAGGAAGGAGCGAAAAGCTTCTGAGGGCGCCGAAAGCTCAGCCGGGCGACGGTAAGTTGAGCGCAAAAGAGGTGTCTCGGCTCCGGCGGCGGAGTTGGCTGGGGCGCCGGACCTGGGGTTGGGGTTGCACCCCTGCGGGATGCGCGGAGCGCGGGGCTGGGACGCGCGGAATGGGCATTTTGCACCGTCCAGACCAGGGACCCCTGCCCCCGTTCCCCGCGTCACCGGTCCGCTCCCCTGCCTCTTCTGCTCGGTGCCAAGGAGAAGAGAAGACGAGCTCTTCTGCTCGGTGCCAAGGAGAAGAGAAGACGTGCGGGCTCGAGGGTCGGAGTGGAGAGCGCGGAGCTTGAGGCTCTCCGGCCACCTTGCGTTGTGGACGACAAGGGGAGGGGGCAGCAGGGTCAGACTAGCTTTGACCGGAGCCGAGGGCTGGGCGCCGGGATTGATGCTCTACTGTCTCCTCTTGGGTGTGTGCGAGGCGCGCTCCCTCCACGGGAAACCCGGCGAAGTTGCTAGGCTATGGAAGCACAACGGACCCGCTTCGTGGATGCCTTTATCTTTTCTTCCTTTTTTTAAAATTCTCTCTTCCGGATGCTTGCGATTAGAGGGGAGGATAAGAAGCTGCAGACTGACAGGCAGCCTCCCTGTAAGGGAATCGGCTTTGACAATTAGGGTGGGGTTGGGAGGCTAAGGGAAGACTAGTGCCCCAAATCTGATCACCTTTCTGGACATCTAGTGCCTCTTTTTACCCCTCCACTGGTTTTCCAGGGGCACTTGGTTATCAGAGAGAGCGCGGGGTCTGTGAACCGTTTAACTTCTTGCGTCTTGTGGGAAGTTTTACTGTGGATGCAAATCGGGGTCAGAGGACACCTGCCGCCCCAATACGGTGTTGACCCGTGTGAAATATCCAATTCCCGATCAACCCTCCTTGCAACTCAGACTTGTCCTCCTCACGTGTTTCTGGAAACTGTTTATACAGTCTGCTTTAGCCTCGGCGGGCTTGTACATTGCAATGAGTGATGAGAGGTCTCCAGGCGTTTGAGCGTCTGCAAATTCTGGAACCTCGGACTGACTGCGAAGAACACCCTACAGTGTGAAGGTATAACTGAGGACCCTTGGAACTGGCGCTTTTCTCTGACTTTCCTGAGGTGCTTTCCGGGGATGTGAAGGAGAAAATTCTCTCTGTCTGCTAGGCTGTTTGCTAGTTGGTTTGTTAAACGTGCTTTTCAGGTGTCTACTCTATGATGGTTCACCATGTTTTCTAAAATGCACTGAAAAGATATATCTGCCTCTGGGTTTTCATGCTACCCATTGGCTTCTGCTGAGTAATTCAGTCACTATTCTCTGGTCTCTAAGCATGAAAGGCAAATATGGGTCATTTCAAATTACGTAGATTGATGCAGCACAGCGTGTCCGGGGTTTGCTGCAAATTCTTCACATTTCCTTTCAGATGTTCCTGAGAAATTAACTTGAGCATGTTATTCATGGAGCTAAAACATAGACTGATGGAATGGGCAAACATCTTGTGTTTACACATTGTCTTGAATTTAAGTCAACGAAGTCTTGGGAGCTGTCAGTGGTAGGAGAAAGAGACCTAAGCAAAGTTTAGGACTTTGGACTGTTTTTTTCTCTATGAAAGTGGTTGAGGGAGCTTTGCTGTCATTTAATAACAACAACAACATCAACATTTGTTTCACTTCCTCGTATACCAAACACAATAGTAAGCGTTTTGCAGCCTGTATAAATGCACGACAACCCCGAGAATGCAGCATTTTTATCACCCCCCATTTTGTGGATAATGAAGTAGAGCTTTAGAGTTGTTAAGTTGGGAAAAGTCCTGGAGTTAGTGTTTTAGAACCCAAGATTGCTGGACTCCAAAGTTGGATCCATTAACTACTATGCAATCTTTTTGAGTTTCATTTGAAAAATGAGAGGACTGGAATTCTCTAAACTCTAAATCCCATGAGGCATTAGTCTGGTGATGGCAATTTCATTGACTGATAGATTCATAGCAGTTTCAAATGTTTAATAGCAGTGTGGAACTTGAGACTTAAAATCATATGAAAATTGTGTGACATTTATATAATTCGGCCTGTCAGCTCTAGAGGGTTAAAAGCTGAGGTCTTGGTGTTCACCTTGACAACATTCTTTGAGTTCTTTTATTGTAAGTCAGTATTGCTATGTTATAGCCCTTATCTTAATGACGTGTGATTTATAACATCAAACTTGTCTAGTACTAATACCACATTTGTATAACTCTGCAGAGTTATCCTGATGTCTGTATGAACACTTTCATATTTCAGCCAGTTTATAATTAATACTCAGTTTCTACCAGGATGTCGAATTTCTATTAAGAGATACTAGCAGCTTGTTTTAAATTTTCCTTTTTTGTTTTCAACAGTATTTTCTAAACAATTACTCCCCCTGCTGTGATTTGCTATTTACTAGGTGCATCAGAAGTTCAATAATGAAAGACGTTTGCAATTAAAGAAAAATAGTGTTTCCTCCACAATTATCAGCTGCAGTTAGAGGATTCACGTCTAATTTGGGGTTTATTTTATCTGATATTTAATTAAGATGTTGCTTTTCTTATTGCAGAGTGTATGCAAGTAGCTGGGTACACATCTTCCATTATTTTCTTATAATCTCCAGCTTCATAAACCTATCACCCATGAGTTCTTCCAATCAATTGTCAGTGCCTGTCTATAGATTTTGAGGTTTTAAAATTAGGAGCGAGAATAACTAGATGATTTGTCATATTTCTTCATAAATGGTAATTATGATTCTTCTGAAAATAGTGATACATTTTATGTCCCAGACCTGATTTGCCTGCACCTGAATGGCATTATCAAATAAAAGTTGTACAACTCCATTGGGACGTTAATGCGATTAATATCCTAAATGTGAGAAGCTTTGGGGAATAGGGAATCTTTTGAGGAGCTAAAGTTATCTTTCTGTGTTGCATTGTACTTGCATAGTATCTTATATCTCTGTGTCCCAGTGGACTAATGGTCATTGCTGTATTTTCTCTTTTGTTTTAGGGTTAAATTGTGTAGTCTATTAGTAGATTTTTATCTTGTCTCTTGATATAGTTGAGTCTTAAAAAAATCACATTTTAGCTACTAGAAACAGTACATTTCTGAACAAGTAAAGGCCTAACAGAGGCATAAAAATAGTGTAGTAATAACTTGCCTAGAGGTTTTGTTTATTTCTTGGCAGTAGATAATGAAGTTGTTATAGTGGCTAACATATTTGACCTTAGATCAGTAATATAATATTGAAACTAATTTCAAACTTGAATTATCAAATTTTAAAATAGTTTATGACAATGGAGTTTTGTAAATGCGTTAACTTTATAATCACATGAATGTATTTTCTCCTGTGTTTTACAGATTTATAAGTTCTGTATTTTCACAACAGGATTACCATTTTATTTGACATTGATCGGTGACTTGGACAACCGTTATTTCTGAAAGACGACTTAAACTCTGTAAACATCTGAGTCATATTGACATCACAGATTGAAAAAACTAATATTGGAGAAGGATTTGTAGTTTTGTATGGTTCAAGAGCTTGGAACTCAAGATAAATGCTACTTACCAGTTACATCAAGGGCTGTAAAGTAAGAGTTTGAATAAAAAAAGGCTGTAGGTCGAAAATCAAGCAAATGGTTAAATAGCCACTTACAAAATTTTGATCAGTTTGTATAGAATAAAACCCATTAAAACCGGTTGCTGTCAAGTCGATTCCGACTCATAGCGACCCTATAGGACAGAGTAGAACTGCCCCATAGTGTTTCCAAGGAGTGGCTGGTGGTTTTGAACTGCTGACCTTTTGACTGGCAGCCAAGCTCTTAAGCCACTGAGCCAACAGAATTCATTAATTTATCTTTAGAACAAGTGGATAATACATTAGAAGTCATTTTTTAAAATTTCAGTACCTTAAAAATGTGTTTGTTTAGGTGTTCTAGGGCCTGTTAAAATAAGTGATATCTCCCTTTCTGAAATAACCCATCCTTAATGTTTTTTTTCCCTTTAATTTGCAATGACAGAGAAATTGAAGGACGCCAAGAGGCAGAAATGTATCAAAACTCTTCACACAGCCCTTATCTCATTTTAAATGTGATTTCAATTTTATCCATATAATTCTTTACCACTTCTAGCATTTTGCTAGATGGGGGGTGGATCTCAAAAAGTATCTTATTCCTATCCTACTGAAGGAAGAATCAGTAGAGAATAATACAGCACAGTTCTAGAGTGGGACAGGGTCCTTTAGATCATTTAATTACTTTATTACTTAGTCTATTGTGTCAGCCAACTATGCATTTAATTTTTTGCAAAGGGATAAATTTCTCCCTAATCTATGGAATTTTATCTACCAAAACAAGCAAGAATGTAGCATTTGTAAAGAGGCACTTTAAGTGAGGGGTTTGCAGTAAAGAAGGGTTTTTACTCCCTTTCCGTGTAGTTATGTAAACCATCTTTCAGGAAAGAGCATACATTTGGCACACCTTGCTTATAAACCTTACCCATTAGACCTGTCTGCCCCCAAGAGAAGTAAAACGTGATTACAGTCGTACAGAACTCCATTTGAGGATTGTCCCAAGTCTTTCATATCAGATGTTCTTTGTTTACTTTCTTCATGATCTTGTCATATGTTTCATTTTTATTGTTAAAGAGTTATTCACTGTAATGTTTTTATAACGTGTTATTAGAGATTATTAGAGATTTTCATCTCCATTATTTCTCCAGCCATCCCTCATTCCTTTTAGCCTCAATTGAACTTACATAAAAATTACAGAAATTGTTTCAGAGTATCTTTAAGTTGCTTCTTAAATATATGAATAACACATGAAACTCCAGAAAGCATCCTGAAAATCAAGATTTTTAAAACCGCATTTAACTGAGTACAACTTCCTGGAGTTACTCTCAGTTAACTGAACCTGTGCAGATCACCTGGAATTTAAATAATAAAGGTTACATGTCTTGGATTGAGTTCTTAGGTGGTTACAAATTTTACCTTTGTAGTAAATTTTGGTGTTAAAGTCACAG